AAAAAAAAAAAAAAAAAAAAAAAAAAAAACGAGAGAAGAAGAGCAAAATAGACCTGGTGGAGGCAAGTTCATTTAAGGTTTTTTGATACAGTTCTTCAGAATGAGCTGTGTCTTTTTTTGCAACCTCCAGTTCGTCACGCTTAAGCTGTTCTGTCATCTGGAGAGAAAATCTGCTGAGTACTAAGCACGAAAAAAGTGTTTTGAAACTTTTTAAAGGTGACAAGACCCATAGTTATGTAAAAAACGGCAACTGGCATTGCAAACTCTCCTAAATTACCTGCAATTGGTGAACTAATTTTTTGTAGTCATCATTAAGAACAGTTTTTGCTTCATTCTCCCTAGTCAGCTGTTTTTGCAGGTTTTCCAATGAAATCTTCAACTCGTTAATTGTAGTCTGACCAGCCTAGAACATAAATGGAACGGTTCCTAAACAGATCAGCTGCTAATGTAAACTCAACAGAAAGCTTAGTACTCACTGTTAAAAAAAGGCAGCTAAAAGCATGGCCTATAAAGAATTCGAGTGAAAATACAACAGAAGGATGACTCAAAGCTCAGTATAATTCAAAACAAATTTAGCCTCAAAAGATAACTTGTTTTCAAACAGCTTACGACATCTTGATGGCCGGTTTCCCCATAAATTTTCAGTAAATTAACGTAACCAAAACTTAAGTTTAAAATGCAAGGAGATGCTACTGTTCACAGTTGGGAAAAAACAATACAAATTCATCTCGCAACCTCAATTCTTTTTAACGACATCATATACTGCGCTTCCTGTTCTTTCAAAATTTTCCGCTCCGCAATCAACTCGTTGTGTTTTTCATCTAAGCTTTTTTCCTGTAAATATCGTAATAAAAAGCTGGTAACCTACAACAAATACAAAATAAGGCAAAGCAAAAAAGTTATTATAATGGTATACCAGGTTTGCAACTTGTTCTGCCTCAGTACTTTTCTTCAGTGTAACCATTTCTGATAAAAGCGCTTTTTTCTAAAAAAAATTCACACATAATCTCCACCGTAATATAACTAAAGAGCTAAAAGACCATTAAGTATTAGCACAAGAATTATTCAAAAAAAGAAAAAAAACTAGAAAATGTGAGGAGAAAGAAAAATCTAAATATTACTTCCTTCTCATACTTTTCTTTCTCATCCTTCAAACGCATAATGTCGGCTTCCCTTACTGCATATCGTACAACCGTATCATTTTTTTCTTTCTCAATCACTTCGATCTTCTTAGACAACTAAAATTTTTTCCATACCATAAACATCCTGACACTTTGATGACAGGCAGAAAATCTCAAACAGTTCTGTTCTTGTCGTCTCCTCTACGGCTTTCTAATTTTAAAAGAATAACAAAAATTGTAGTGAAGTAAGAAGATAAAGATCGATACTCTAGAGATTAAAAAACATAGATCTAACATGAGCTATAACTGAATTCGACTTGGCAGCAGCCTCTTCCAAGTACCTTGCGTGGTGGGCCTCCATAGACGCCATCTTTTCCTTTGCATTTTTCAAACTATTTTCATAATCGCTAATTCTCCTCTCCAGCTCAAGTATACGCAGCTCGCAAGCACTGCAGTCAAAAGCCAGTTGATTTTTTTTAATAATTTTACAAACCTCATGAACATACTAAGTAAAAAAATTCAAACTCCAAAATCTTTGCAGCAGGAACAGTGTAGAGCACCAACCCATTTTTCTGTTTGACAGTATTTTCAAGAGATTCGCATCGCTTAACATAATTCTGCAGTTCTGCATCTAGATGTTCATTTTCTTTTACCGTCCTACAAACAAATTAACGTATGCATAAACAAAGCAATTAGAGAAACTAAAAGTTATTCTACTATAATCAAAGTTCTTACAAGACCAGCAGTAAAAAAATGAACCAATCTAAATAACTGAATGAAACAAAATTTTAACCTAGAAAGTTGGTCAGTTGCACTTTTAAATTTATCAAATAAAGCCTTCACTCTGGGAACAGCTTCTTCCGGCAAACTGTTCCACTTTAACCCCTGAAAATAACCAAAAAACATAGCCTCAATAAAAAAACTCGGCTCATAAGCCAAAAAACTGAAAAGGAGAAAATGCTAAGTAAAGGAAGAAGTGTAATTTAATACAAAAAAACAGAAAACAGAAAAAAAGTTTCTTCCGCTATTTATTCCATAACTTCAATAAAAAAAAAGTATGAGACAGATAAATTGAATTTAAGACATGCAGAAACATACAAACGGCAAACAATAAAAACATGAGCTTGAATTGTGTTGCTGCGAAAAAATTTTATAATTTTTCTACAAAAATCTTATTTAGAGAGTGCCACTGATACGGAATCGGAAACAACAAGAAAAAAACACTACAACAGACAAACTGAAAGCAGAAGAATTAAACCAACTGTTATTTGACAGCAGTCTTCCAATCCCGGAAATTCACCGGCCTCCTTTTCATCGACATTTTTTATGTCGACCATCATTTCTTCAGCACTGCAACTTCCACCGCTAGCATTTTCAAGCCTTAAAGGGAAAAGCTGTGATGCAAAAATTGAACAAAAGTTCAACTATTTCACCGACATCACTTATACCTGCAAATTTACTACACCTCTTTTTAACATTAATACAACAATCCAGTAAACCAATAGTCCAATTTCCACACTTCAAACGAAAAATATTTATGGAAATTGGCTAATATAAAAACGTCAGTTAATCCGCTCACTTCCATTCTACCAAAGTTATTTTCAATACTGCAGCTTTCCAACAAACAGGAATATTAGAAAAAAAGCAGTCTATTCCCGACCATACAGAACAGCGATTATGAAACTAAACAGTCAGAGTGAGCACACAAATTTTTTTAATAATTTGTCTCCTTCATCCGTCCATAAACTCAAACTCCAAATACCAACACGGTTGGAAGGTTGACAAACAAAAGCAGAAGTACACGCACAGGAAAAAAAAATCAGCCATTAACAACCGACGACAAGTGAAAACTTGACAGTAAGGCCATGTTGATATAATGAGTAAGTAAATGAAACCTAACTACATAAACTGTCCTGTACGATATTGTTTGGTGCTCATTCAGCACTGCTAAAGCAATCACCTCAACTATGTTGGAAGCGACAAAGTTTAAAAAAAGAAAAAGACACCGCAACTTTTGATTTTACAATGGCTGTTATGTTTTTAACTTTCCTATACCAAGTAATCCAAAAGAATTAAAAACCTTCAAAAGCGTCCTCCTTCCATACCTTTGTTCCCGCTTCATACAAATTTATTCCACAAATATCAATGGAAAGTAACAAATTGGCAACATCAAATCAATTATAAAATTAGAAGACATTTATAATTTAATGTTAGTTTCCATGTGTCTAACGGCAGAACAAAACAGCCTTTAAAATAGAGTAAAAAAGAACGCTTTTAGCAGGTGTCACTTCAAACGTCCCGCATGTTGTTTTTTAAGTAAGAGTATCTATGCACAGAAATATCAAACCAAATTAAAAGTGAAGGGATGAAGGAGATAAACTACATACACCTCTACATATATAACAGATTTACTCAATTTTTGACAGAATCAAGATCGAATGAAGCATGGTCAACATTTCAGCCTACTAAAAAACAGTCAATTTTATGGATTCTCAATGTTGAAGCACAGTAGCTGCAAGAACGCCAGTGTTTTCCCACATCGTACCATCGCTTTTAAAACAGCCGAAGATCATGTTATTACTTTTAAATGAGTCAAGCTCAGTACACTAATCATATTTTTCCAGCTCAAAC